GAGAGCCGCCCTGCCTGCCCTCACAGCCGGGGCTGGCCCCGACTCCTGGGCCTCGCTGCTGAGAGATCCCTGGGCAGCCCTGAGGTTCCTTTCAGCTGTCACAGCTCGAGAGCGTGATGTCTTGGGCTTGCTGCTGTTCTGGAGACCTGAAATGTTGCCTGTCACCGGCGAGGGCTGGTGGCACTCCTGTGAAAGGGAGCGGTCGGCTCTGCTGCGCCAGTGGTAGGTGGGGAGTTGATGTTTGGCTTTCATCAAACCCAATTCAATGGCAGGCTGCTAAGCTGACACGTACATTTTGCCCTTTTGTAACTAAATACATAAACTACTGTAGCTGGCAGAAGTACATCCTAATTGATGTGATGTGGAACCAGGTTATCTTCTGAATGAAAAGCTGAGGCTGGGAAATATGTTGAAATAACGGGATAGCTCAGGGTTCCTGCAAGCCCTGGGGCTTTGTGTGTAAACAAAGGCCCTCTCATTGGGAAAGGTGAAGAAACACAGAACTTTGCCTTCAGCAGTAACATGCTCTGTATGGGCACAGTCAAGTATTGCACAGTGTTAGCTGGGATACTCATTTGTCCTTCCCTTTCTGTTACTGAGGCTCTCACCTGTGCTGGTTCTTAAGCACTGGTGTCCACTGCCAAGGAAAGTACATACTGACCAGATCTTGGAGCCCAAGCCAAGAAGTGATATGCAGTAATAGGCAGAAAATCTGTTCCAGTATACAAAATTCCTTTAAGGCCTGCCCAGCGTCCATTATCATCAGCAGTCTGAAGAGGAAAATAAGTCAGTCAATTAGCACAAACATTAATTTTTGTCACTGTCAGCTCCAGTCATAAAAACAGCTGAGCTGTAGCAGCAGAAAAGCATTTTGTCTAACCTATGTGTGTTCCAGCTTCCAAGAAATAAAAACTGATGGAAGTTCCAGTGAATGTCTCCTGATCTTAATGTCCTTATTTCTTAGGCTTCACATTTGCCTGCCTTTTTTTTTGTGTGTGTGTTCTTTAGCTGGAATCATCTGTTCCTAAGCCAAGCAGGAAAGCTTTCTACCATTTGCTCTATGAAGGAAATGTCACTTCCACCTAGCAGTCTCCACTTTATTTCAAGGCAGCTGAAAATGTGGGGTTGTTTCTTTGCATATTTTGTTTTGTTATTTGTTTCTCCAATTCCATTATTTAGCTTTGTCTACATAGACAAAGAGGAGCTATTTTTGCATTCCTGACTTGCCTGAATTCCTGTTAAACTCAGTGGAGGTTTTGAGTGTGCAAGGACAGGGCTAAAAAGTGTGTTCTACATTCTGCGCTTCTAAAGTCCCCCCCGGTGGCATCACTTGTACTTAAAACTTCAAAGCAGAGAAGCAGGAAACACAGAACAGGTAATTATAGGAGCTCTCTATCACATACCAACAGTATCTCTCTCTATGAAAATCTGGTAAACAGTTGAGCAATTGCATAGTGAAAAAAAAACAACAAAAACCATTTTCATCAGGAAGTTATACCGTGTCTCCTGTTGAATTTTAATGATTAGATATGCATATAGCATTTTTTTTTTTGTAAGGAAATAAGAGAGGAAGTTCTATGCTTTAGAGAGATAGGTTGACTCATTTTGTAGCTGAGATTTTGCTTTCTAGCCTCATCTATTCTTCGAAAAAATCCAGATTTCTGAAGACCAAAAGGCAAGCTTCCGTGCCTAAAGACTGCATAGGACCTACTTAGAGGCCCTAAGTGATGTATAGGTTTTCTGATGAACCGCAGCAGGGCACTGAATTTCATTGCTGAAAAACTGATCTGTGGAGTTAGTTCAGATCGTGAAGCATTTTTGCCGCTGTCTTCTTTTTTCTCTTCCAAGATGAAATGCAAACAGAAGACCCATGAACTCTGTACATGGTAGGATGGAGCTCACAGAGTCATTTATCATTACCTGTCCCTAAATCTTTGCTAAAAGTTGCAATGGAGGAAACCACTTAATATCAAAATGTCTTGACTGACTAGATGTGAGCTTAGCAGAGCTTTTGCTCTCCACATACACTTGTCCAGAGACACTGCAGTGGTCCTCAGTACAATTAAACATTTAACACTTTAACAGGTTGAATTTTCCTGTGTAGTTGTGTCCATTAGTATTTGTGTATCTGTTTATATAAGTAGTTGTACTGAAATGAGTAAGATTTTTTACATGTATGAAATTCTTTACACAAGCAAATGTCAAATCCAAAGTAATAACTAATTTAAGTCTAAATATAAAACAATTTTTTTGTTTATTCAGGTGGGAACAATTTGGTTACTAAAGTTACCCTGCTACAAGCTTTGATAATCACAATAAAAAAATTGTCAGTTAAAATGTCCAGTCTTTAGCTTCAAATGAAAAACTTACAAGAAAATACTTTTATATAAATCCAAGCAAAACCTAAGTACTAATTGATGGTTTTGTCATTCAAGTTTCATTGTAATTCACTTCTGCTTATTAATGCTCGGCTAAAATCTTGATAGAAACAATACACTCTATCAGCCTTCTGCAAGCCAGAAATTGGATTTAATGCCACTTAGCTTGTTTGGCCAGTTGAAATTTCAGGAGTTCACATGCACTTAAAACACTAGGCAACAGTTTTCATAAATATCAAGATTTTTCAAAATCTTACTTGCTAGAATATTCCTTGATGTACTGTGTGTGTTGTGTTGTCTATTCACTGTCCCTTGTCTTCCCTTGTCCATTGACATAACAGTTAGTAGATGCTATTTAAGAATGTGTTAATAGGTAGTAAATATTTCTGCTTCTTATCTATGTTGGTGATGTAAAAAAAGAAAAAAGGCGGACTCAAAATCCAGAAGTTACTCAAACAAACAGAAGTTCACTGCAAAACTGCTGCTCTAAAAGTTACAGAACTCAGTCCATCCTTTCCAAAATGTGTGACGGGCAGTAAGGAATGGTCTTTGCTTGCCATATTACAGTATTTTAATGAAAGACTCTCAGTAAAAGCCACAAAACACTATTAGATCCCTTCCTACTAAGGAACTGATTTTGATATCCCAGATGTCCAGCTTATTAGTGCCACTTATTCAGCACCAGCATTCCTGGCAAACACTGAGTGCTGCCAGGCTGACGTTGACTTGCACCAGCATTGAGTTCTTTGCTGGCCCAGGATGGTAGT